CTGGTGTTCGGGTGCTTATGAGCTGACTCCCCAACAGGGGGATCATGCGTGGACTAAGATTGTAGTCTGAAAGCCTGAAAAATTACAGGCTTGCGGTTTGAAACCATCTATAATAAATTATATTCAATAAACACTACCATGGTCGTTTCAACACAACTATTTGTGATCATCTGAGTGGAATGATTATTTCGGTTTTTAATGTCCTGTGCCTCGTTACTTTTGTTTTAGACATCATGACTCAGTTGCAGCATTTCTGACATCAATGTTTACCCAGTCAGACAAGAAGACAGAAGACTGCAATTTTTGAAGAAATTTCCATTTCAAACAATTCATCAACATTCTTGATAATTACTTTCACGAGTGGAACCAATCTGGCATGCGACGAGGCAGCAGGGATGCCGGGACAGGCGTAACACCAGCATTCATTTATTGCTACTGCACTGAGACTACGCACCACAGAGACCATTAGGTGTTGCGAGCAAGCTCAAAATGGCATGTTTTGATCAAACTGTTAGAGTTTTATCATTTTAGGTAGATTTGTATGAACGATATGACTAACTTTGTCAGCGAATTTACTCTTATTCTCAATAATTCAATGACCGTTGTCATTTGATGTGTTGATAACATGTTTACTTTTTCATTTGTATTCACGATCATCCTGCATCACGTCACGTTATCGCGTTGAAACACCGATAACTGACCGNCCGTCACTGTTTGTCGCATAAGCGAATGCACCAATGCCAACCTTCAAATTTGTGCAACGAATACCGTGAGTGGTTGCAAGTAAAGAATCACACCCCCGGATAAACAATAAAATGACTAAAACAAGCAGAGTTTGATGCACATTGATTTGATTGAATTGGTATTTTTCCAACAACCAACAACACTCACGTTCACTGTGACTCGCCTTCAGAAAATCTTTTCCGATCTATTATATGATCTTGGATTATCCTGCCCTCACGGCAAACATCAGTTCATCAAAAATGTCGAATCAATTCAGTGCCCTTTTATATTGGTCCTGCTTGACCCGCACAACATGAGCAGTTACGTCAAAACCCGTTCAGGTTCCCAGAACACTATTGGTATTCACCTGCCATCAATCATTCTTGCACCCAGTCGCCCGCGAGAACAGTATGGTTTGCTGTAGGCAGATAATAATGAAAACACTCTCTTAAAATTAACCACCTAGTCTGAGGTTGACATTCGGTCGTGATTAGTTCACCAGGTTTTGCTTATCGTTTAACCAAATAGGTGGAAGTTTCGAAATGCCTGAAGGCTTTTGTTAATTCACCTTGTTTACCTTACCTTTCTGTTACATCTAAATGTTTAACACACTGAAAGATGAGAAACCCTCTATGAATGATGGTATCCAAAATTTCATTCTATGTGAATTTCTGGCGAGAAGAAAATGTGTCCATGTTTGGTGGTTTCACTATTTAATCTAAAGTTTCAGTTGAGGTGCACGGTCAGTGGTTAGTTGTTGAAGATGAGCTAGCCTGGACATTATGTAATACCAGTGATTGATGCATGGATAATTGAAGTATTAGAGAGAGTGGATAAGTTTTTGTTATTTAGGCTGCTGCATGTCACCTGGTGGACGCATCACGAATGAAGTGTCTGCTCGCATATAGAAGGCTCGATTGGCACTTGCCAACTTGAGATATCTGTGGCGCCGTCGCGATATCCGATTGTCTCTGAAGGGTTTAATGTATGCTACAGTAATTCGACTAGTTCTGCTATATGGAGCAGAAACGTAACTATTAGGAAAACAGGACAAAGATAGACTGTCGGTGTTTGAGCATCAGTGTCTACGCAGCATTGGACGAATTTGGTGGGGCATCGGGACGAGCAATGCTAAGGTTAGGCGCAGAGTTTTATACACCCGCGTTAGTCCACTGGAGAAAATGGTCGACCTCCATAGATTACATTGGTTCGGTTTTACGCATGTCACCTGAATGAGGGTATGAAAATCTTGACCAGGAGTTTGCGTCATATAGGTCCCGTTGTGCTCCCTGGATGCGGACCTTGGAATGATCATCCCCGATGGTGAGAGACACTGAGTGATATGGCCGGGTGTCGTAAAAAATGGCGTTTATGCATCCTGTCAATTTCTCTGCAACACTAGTCCACTGAAATCTTAAATTTTCTCCTTGGTCCTACTTTCAACCTTTCCTTTCTCCTTATGCTCATCCAAATGGTCAGTCAAAAGACAGTAACTAAAACCAGCTCACGATGGTGCATGGTTAATGGTTTGTACAAACTGAACTGAACTGAACTGAATTCCAGATTCGTTTATTTGCAATGATGTGAGTCTTTGCTTATTTATATACTTAGCATGCGCCGTGCATGAAGGATCAACGTTAATGTATACTACGTTTGTTTTGTGTTTGATTGGCTGATGGGTGATTTTCACGAAGTAATCACCATTTGAACAACGCGGGGACATTCCAAGGAGGCACACAAGTGGATGGTGTGTCCATTAAGTGTAGATATTGTACCCAACTATGCACACCAAACGGACAGAAAATACTCACATAGTTAGTTCCAAAATTGACTTTTTAAAACAAGTTAATCCAACACACCCAAGCTTCTATGATTCTTAGGAGAGAAGAGAACCGTGGCGTATCATAGAAAAGGTACATGGCTCAATACATAATTGAGCAAGAGACAGTCAACCGTACATATAGCTTGCTAAATG